CCACAAGGATTCCCGGGAATATCAACCAACCCTGCTCGGGTGTGGAACTTTGTTCCCACCCTCTGCTCCAGGCTGGAAAGGTGAGATCCCACAAGGATTCCCGGGAATATCAACCAGCCCTGCTCGGGTGTGGAATGTTGCCCAAGGATGATCTTCCCTGGGGCAAAATCAGGATTTAGGACAACGGGTCTCAACACAGGTTTAAACACAGATTTAAACACAGGTTTAAACACAGATTTAAACACAGATTTAAACACAGACAAAACACAGGTTTAAACACAGGTTTAAACACAGATTAAACCACAGGCTTAAACACAGATTAAACCACAGGCTTAAACACAGATTAAACCACAGATTTAAACACAGATTAAACACAGATTTAAACACAGACAAAACACAGATTTAAACACAGATTAAACACAGGTTTAACCACAGACAAAACACAGATTAAATGCAGTTTTAGACTAAACCACCGACTTAAACACAGGCTAAACCACAGACTAAACCACAGATTTAAAGACAGACTAAAACACACATTAAACCCAGATTAAACACAGACTTAGACTTAAACACAGACTTAAACACAGGCTAAAACACAGGCTAAAGCACAGATTTAAACACAGGCTAAAGCACAGCTTTAAACACAGACTAAAGCACAGATTAAACCCAGATTAAACACAGACTTAGGCTAAACCACCGACTAAACCACCGATTTAAACACAGAGTAAAACACAGATTTAAACACAGCCTTAGACTAAACCACAGACAGGCCTCCCAAATTTGAGTGGGAGCTCCCAAAAATCCCCTCCCTTCATCTTCTCTTCCTCTTCCTCATCTCCTCTGCCCCTTTATCCCCCCTTCTGGAATTCCCAGGAATTCCCAGGGGGCTTGAAGAGACCCTGCCTTTGTGCCTGTTGGACTCGAGGGAGGGCGAGTGGGGATATTAAAGGATGTTAAAGCTCCTGAGACCTGTTGGAAGTCGGTTTTTGATCCCTAATCCGAGCCCAACTCTGTCCCCAGGTTGCCAAAAAGGAGGCCACGGAGCCCTTTGGTGACACGGAGACCAAGGCCCAGGATCCTGATCCATCCTCAGCCCAACCACACTCCCAAAAAGAGCAGGAGCCTTGCGGGCCTTGGTGTTCCCAGGTGAGAATTCGGTTCTCGGGGGGTGGACATTTCAAATAAAAAGAGGCTTTAAATGATTAGTCTTTAAATAGAGTTGAAATAAAGAGACTTTAAATAGACTTGAAATAAAGAAAAATGGTCTGAGGAGACGAAAAGATCTCCTGGGTGGGCAACTCGGCCTCTTTCTTTCGTTGCACGAGACAAGGAGTGTTTAAGTCTGTGTTTAAGTCTGTGTTTAAGTCTGTGTTTAAGTCTGTGTTTAAGTCTGTGTTTAAGTCTGTGTTTAAGTCTGTGTTTAAGTCTGTGTTTAAG